CGCTCTAAGACCATGCGTTTCTTTATTTCTTGTTGCTTTATTTTTATCATCCTAAACCCTCTTTCTCTCTCTCTCTCCCTCTCCTTCTCTTGATTAGTAACTTTAGGCCATACAAGCAGAAGTACCCTTTATTTTATTTGGCTTATATTAATGGAATCTTTCCAACAAGTAAAGCTTTATAGTTTTTCTCTTTCTAAAGTTCTTTAATGAAAGAAATCTCATACATTTTATGTGTTATTCTTAAAATATATGCATACAAGGCTTTTGTTCAATACCAATATAATAAATTTTCTCAATCATTATTAAACTTTTTATCATGTAAGTATTCAACATAAGAATAAATCACTCATATGTCTTAACAATCTCATCCACACAAAAGCTCTCCATATCACCAACAAGTTTGCATCAAATAGAAGCATTTTAACATTATTGAGAAATGAGAATCATTCTTCAAGTAGTCATTCAACCACATAAGGCACATCCCAGAATAATTCATTAATGTATCTTGCTCAATCATAGTGAAAACTAAAAAAAGCTAACAAATATTAGCACAAAAACGCCTCAATCTCAACTAAAACATCAGTCATATTATCTTGTATTCTAATTGATCAGAAACACTAATGATCACAAAACTTATTTTTAGCTCAAAAACACAAAATCTTATAGGTGAGGGCGACAATCACTTCATATATTTATAGCTACATATTTTTCAACTACCTAATGTAAAATTAAATCTATTCCCATATACCTTTACATCTTAGGTTAGTAGCATATGATGTGTTCACCAACCATGAACTTTATGAATTTTTTGAGATTTAAAAAATCACCAGTTAATCAAGTAAAAAATTAGATAGAATCATATAAAATCAATACTTGATGAATTAAAAATTTCATGCATAGTATAAATGTATTAAAAAAAAAGTAGAGTCAAATTCAACATAACTAGCATTCATTATGCTTAAATGATGTGACAAATCCTAGACAAATTTGATGTCTTCATGCATGTAAGCACCAATACTATTAATATCAAATATTGAAAATATAATAATTAGTAAGAAAAACTTACATTGTAAAAAAGCTCATTGCAATTGGGTTGTAAAAAAAACTCATTATTCGTAAATAGCTCATGTTCAGTTCGTTAAGTAACTTGTGTTCGAGTCGTTCATTAAGTAAATGAGTCGGACACAAACAAATTATTTAAACTCAAATTATAACGAGCCAAATAAGAATAACCCTTTTTTTATACTCGTTCTAACTAGAAATAAGGAAATTATATATATATATATATATATCTAAATTTAAATCATAAGCTACTTTTCCTGGGGACATTTACATACATATTTATATAATAATATACTACAGATATTATTTTTATAATAATATATTATATATATTTATATCTAAGTTAGAATTATAATAGCTTTGCTGTCGTGTGGTTTAGTATCCTATTGCACAAAATTGGTGCAGAATCAAATCTAACATCCTATATTTACTTTTTCATACTATTTTAAATGAACTAATTTTGAGCCGAACACGAACACACACTTCACAAGTAATTTCAAACACAAGCCAATTTCAAATGAGCTAAACACGAGTCAAGCTCGAGGTCTATAATGCCCTTAAGTGTCAACTTCTCCTAAAAGTTTTCTACAATAATTTGCTTATCATCATTAGTCCAATAACTTTTCACATATTCAATAATAAAATAATCCCCAATATAATTGACTGAATAATAAACAAATTGAAGTAAGTAATTTACATAAAATTCTAGAGCTAATCCTATTCTTCAATAGGAATCATTTTCGGTGTTTTCTTCAAATCTCCCAAATTTCACTGAGCTGTTCCATCACAAGCTTAAACTAATATTTAAGACTTCATAATCCACAAATCTTAGAAGCAGCTCATTACCTTCATTGAGCCAATTATGTCCCATACACAGGAATCTAATGAATTCCCCAATTATTCAGCTTCCCTTTGGCAGGCAACTTTACCCCCAAACTCTCTTCTCATTTCTTCTGCTATCTGCAGCAGCCATCCTTCTCTTCATCTCCTTCTACTTCAACAACTTCTTAGCTCCATTCCAAGACAAAATCCCAGTTCCTCCTTCCTCCACCCTGTCAACATTGCTTCTGTTACCTAACACTTCTTCTTCTTCTTCTTCTGATTCTGAGAAAGAATGTGACATATCCAAAGGGGAATGGATCAGAGATCCAAAAGAGCCATATTACAACAACAAGACATGCTGGATGATACAGGAGCATCAGAACTGCATGAAGTATGGTAGGCCAGACATGGAGTTCTTGAATTGGAGGTGGAAGCCGGATGGCTGCGAGTTTCCAGCCTTCGAACCGCTCCAATTTCTCGAGCTTATGAGGGAGAAGTCCCTAGCCTTTGTGGGGGATTCCCTTGCCAGGAACCATATGCAGTCACTCATGTGCCTTTTGTCCAAGGTAAGTCCTTCAGCTTTCAGATCTTTTCTTTCTCTGTTCTGTGAAGCTTTCTTTTGTTCTCTCTGATTGTTCATTTGGTTGCTTGCAGATGCATTAACCTTAAAATTTAATGAAATATAACTAACATATTGCATCAAGCTTAATAATTATATTCCAGTGGTGATGACATTACAAGGGCTATTGAATTTATGATACTGTAGTTTTTTTCAAGTTTAGTTAATTAAGAAAATTATGATTCAATCATTTAGCTGTAAAGTCATTAAGTTGCAGGAAATATTCTGCTGGCACAATTATTTAGATATGTGCAATTAGTCAATAATTAGCACGTTAGTAAGCTTTGCTTACATGATAAAAAAATTACATTCACTATCAAATAATTGCAGTTGGATAAATTAGTTAATTATTGAGGATATTGTTATTTATTATAGGTACATATTTCAATGAATAATGAAAGGCATTTAAATATTAAATGTTTACATGATTTAGTTGGAACAATCTAACTCGATAGCACATGATTACAGACAAACCCAAAAGATTAGCAAATTAATTTATTTAGTAGATGCAGAAGTATTAACATATTGATTAAGTTGGGGTAATACTAATGTTTTTGAATTTTTTTTCATTGATAATGAATTGCCGATGTATTGCCTAAAAGCCTTCCTGAAAATTTTTAGGAAGATTTGCTTACTTGTCACTCAATTTCTATGTATTTACATCCAACAGCTAACCTTCAATTGTTATGTATATATCATCATATCTGTCTGTGTTGAGATCATATTTATTCATGAATCACACATAAGAAATGGAGTGTAGGAAGGGCATATTTTAGAATACAAGCCAGTTTTTCTTATTGGCATCCCCCTTACATTTATTGTTCATGTATTTATAAAAAACTATAATCATTTATAAAATGTCGGTTATGCCTTTGACATTTTGGTTGTCGGCTGGCCTTCATTGACTGGTCACGGAAGATTTGCCTCTTAGTGTGTTCTCGGCAAATATTCGCATCTACTACCCTCTGAATACGCTGCCTGAGTTAGTTGACCTCATAGTCGATCGGTCATTGAGCAGGTCGACCTCTAGCTGGTTGATCATTTGTCTCCTATCTGAATCTAACTAGTTCGCTCTTCTTGCCCCAGACATTTGTTCTGCTTAGACGGTTTTGATTTGTTGGCACACGCTCAACATGGGATCATTTGAATTCAACCAAATGTATTTTTATTATGCAATCTTAAAAGTAAAAATAATTATATTTTTGATGTGGTATAAAAGATTTGAGTTTGAGAAATTTAGAAAAATAAAGTTTGGGGGTCCGTATATAAATACACAGGAATTGGGTGGTATGAATGTAAATGCCTCTTTTTTTTTTGTTTTTGTATGTCGGTGACATGACTTCAAATAATGCAGCTTCAACCAACCTGTGAGCAAACAGTTGTAAGGTTCAAAAAGGATTATTAAAACATATAAAAAAATCGTTCATGCCAAGTTGTTGGGCCAGAACGGTCTTAAATTATTGCTTTTTGCACATGCTAAAACTTCAATTATTAGTATACAATATTGATTTTCTCCATCCCAATTGAGTCTCATGTTTGTCAAAATTATGTGCTCGGGTTATGCTAGATTAGGAGTCGGACATATCAATTCATAAATGTGATCCAAGCCTCCCTAATCTTAAAGGCTGACTGAGCGTTTTGTTTGAAATGAAATGAATTCATTGTAAAATTAAATGCAACAGAGGTGGCAGACATGCGTGACGACACATTATTGTAGTTGTGGCCAGAGACATCGGATGAGTAGGTAGTGACGATAGTGGACAATATTTGTGATGGTGGTAGTAACAGGCGGTAATTGGCAATGGGTAGAAAAACGCAGCTTGAAGTGTGTTCGAAACTCCATCAAATCAGATGAGTATGCAGTAGATAAGTAGACGAAACTGTAAAGTGCTAGATACAACTATTAAAATTGAAAATACAAAAACTAAAATTCAATGAAAGGTACAATAAAATTACTCATCTTACTCAACATCGTCTGAAGAGTAATTGGAGGATTTATCATGATCTTTTCCCCAAAGGCATCGTCCGAGTCGTACTGATCACCGAGATTAATTTTTTTGTATTTGCCACTAACAACCTCTAGTATGAGCTTTTCATCGATCGCATCAAGCGGAAAACAAAAACTTGTCATTTCTGTTTCTTGATGAACGAGTTCAATGTTATTATGAATATTAATGGTGGTTTTTGGTTTACTCGAAATTACAACAACTCAATCAACGTTATCTCTTACTCTATGTGGATATCGAAGAAAGTAAACTTGAATTGCCTGTCGGGCTGGAATGAAAGGATCAAATTCAGCATATCTTCTGTTCGTTTTCACTTCTGTGATATTATATAATCAGTTTACCCTTGTTCCATGATTAGGAAAAGGATCGAATCAAGTACACTTGAATATGAATACACTTCCTCCAATAGAATTTGGATAAGATGGTTCAATAAATTCTTTCAGAATCTCATGATAGTTTCTCTCGTTGATCGACTTATCATTTGCTTTAACACAAACATCAGAATTAGAAGACTTTTTTCCTTCATACCAAAATTTCGTGTGAAACCTGTACTCATCTACATCGTAAATTTGACAGATTTTCACGATGTGCATAAGTCCCCAAGTAAGATTTATTAACCTCTGAGCTGTCATACCATTTCTCTAATCATGAATCTATTAATTTATGCATAAGAAATCATGTGTTAATGAAAAGCCTCGTGTCACATGAGGAATGAATATGTCAAATTTAACTCACATGCGTTGTAAACCACTGGGGGAAGTTATTCTCGATCTCCCTGCTCATGTCATCCTCTTCAACTAAAGTTAATGAATCCACGAATAATTTGTTCACATATTAAAATATCATTGAAATAGTTAATCATAACACTTATCAGATAAATAAGTTAAAAATTATTATGGAAAATGACTTACTCAATAGAGGGTAGTACTTCATCGTAATTGAGAAGAGCATAAAGTGTCGCTGCTCAAAGTTCCTGATCATTAAGAACTTGTTGTGCACTTCTCTGATGCTTTACCTAATTGTTGAAAAATAGAAAGGGTCAATGGTGGCACTAAAACTAATGACTCTTTTGTGGACTCTTCTCCCACAAAATAGTAGGAGTAGATTGTCGTTGTCTCTTGCAGTAAATATGCTTCACATATTATTCCTTCTAGGTGAACCTTATTGTTCATAGTTCTCTTCAGTTTATTCATAAATCTAAAAAATAAATGTTGCTCAATATAAATTGTTAATATTCTTTATAAATGTGTGAATAAATATCTAGTCCCAATATAATTTCCTCTTAAATGGATACATCCAACGGTATTGTACTAGGTCTTCAATTAATGCATCGTGGGGTAAATGTAAAAGGAGATGCTCCATCGAGTTGAAGAAACTAGGTGAAAATATTGTCTAAAGCATGCAAAGTGTTACAGGTATGATGTGCGTTTAGCTGGTGTATGTCGTCATGTTTCAAATGAGCAGCACACAGTTCCCTGAAGACACACAGATTTTTATTAATGGATTAAGGAGTTTGCTTAGCAGACAACCAAATGTGGTTGGCATCAAATTTTGTAAAAAAATATAGCAGTCGTGATTTTTCATTCCAAAAATTTTTTCAGCACCAACATCAACCTAACTGCTCAAATTCGAAGCATACCCACTCGGGAATTTTAATGATTTGAGCCACTCACAAATTGTTCTTAGCTGGGACAAAGTGAGAGAATATTTTGCTTTGGGCTAATGAGCTTGTAAATAGCAGTTTTTGGATCTCCAACTCTTTCTTTATGCATATCTCCTTCAAATTAAGTTTGACGTTCACGTTATCCTTCATTTTTTTGTTAGCATATATCACAGTGTTGAAGATATTATCAAAGAAATATTTTTTTCTATGTACATAACATCGAGATTTTGTCTGATCATGTTGTCTTTCCAATAAGGTAGATCCCGAAAAATTGAGTTCTTAGTCCAATTATGAGTGACACCAATTCTGACTAGATGCTGTGAAGAAAGGTCAGGGCATACAGTAATCTTTGGAATGTCGCTAACAATATGTGTTGCTAGGATATTCTTGGTGGTAGCGAAGATTTCTCAATTTTGTTTTTCTTCTGAATGCATTCTTGTTCTTCCTAAAGGGATGCCCATCTTTTAGAAATATACGATGATATTCAAACAATGAATTCTTCCTGTCATACAGAAGCATAAACGTCTTGAATGAATTCATGCAATATGGGCAGACTAACATTCCAGTGATGCTCCATCCATATAACATTTCATATGCAAGAAAATCACTTATTATCCACATTAATTTGCCTTTCATCCAGAAATTGTGTTTCCTAGAGACGTAATAAGTCATGACACTTATTTTTCAAAGAATTTGCAGCTCATCTATCAACTGTTATAAATATACATCAATCCTCCCTTTAGGGATACTGAGACTAAGTATAATCAGTGTCAAGAAGAAGAAATGAGTTGTCATGCACATCTCAGGTGGTATATTGTATGGCGTAACAATCACCAGCCAACAAGAGTAGGGTGATGCGGTCTAACCATATGGTGTGAAGCCGATAGAGCATAAACCTAGTCGGACATCGCGTGTCTCCGCAACAAACACAGAATATGAGCAATCAAAAGATTTCCACTCCTCTTCATCTGTTGGATGACTCATTGAGTTATTTTCTCCTGATCTGCTCTGATGTCTTATCATATGTGGAGCAGTACACATATAATTGTATAGCCTCTAAAGATGTGGAATAATTGATAGATAAAGCAGTCACTTGAATGAAACTTCCTTTTGTCTCTTTTTCTGCTCTGAGGTTTGAATCTATCATAATTACTAAATATGGATTGAGTCTCCATCACACTACTCTTGTGATATGTCATACATCCATTTACACAACAATCAATGTTCTCTACTTGGAGCCCTAACTTGGAGACCAACATTTTCTTCTTGTGTAAATCT